AAGGCTCTCCTCCGGGTAGTCGCCAGTCGACACTGGCCGGCAGATGGAATTCGGAGGAGGCCTAATCTGTGGGATCTAACAATTGTGGCAATTTTTTTAATAAAATGGGGCAAAACTCACTTAATAAATATCTCACTTTGCAACAGAAAATTTGGGCTCAATTGAGGTCATAAGTCAAGGACTGTATTGGACAAGGATGAGCCTACAAAATGTTTGGGCCACATTTCTCCTCCCTCACCCCCACTCTGAATATTTTTCACTGCAAATCTAGCAACACAGTAGATTGCACCAATTCTAAAGAGCAATTCCTACAAGCAAATGTCAGTCCTTGCTTGCTCTCAATCAGTTTGAGTGCTGTATGCACACAGGCTTAGAGAGGAGGAGGTTGCTAGGTAACCATATATGAAACTTAGGGGACCTCACATGATCAACAAGAACTGGCTTAATATATTGTTCCTAACTGAGTGGCAATGCGCCTAAATGAGAACCGCCAGTGGAACGGAGGGGAGAAACTTCAAATAGACAATAAGTGTCATTTTTTTCCACACCAGGAACAAGGACGAATTTCCTTCCTTCTTTTACAGAAATATTTTAAAAGTTTCTCCTTCCAACTAATATGAGTCCAGCTTCCCAAAACTGAATTGAAAACTGCCTAAATTGGGTCTTTCACTTTGCATATCCTGCCAAAATTAAGAATTCTGCACCAAAACTTAGGAAAGGGGCATAAATTAATTCTTGCTGCCTTCAAAAATGGTCAACCAAGCGGAGAGCTTTGAAACCAAGGGCGAGCCCCAGCCAACCCGCCAACCCAATTTGACTACATGTTGCTGAGCTGCATTAAGCTGTTTATCCACATTATGCAAATGTAATTAGCCATCATCAAAATTAGGCTACCACCCACCAAGGATAAAGGTGATCAAATTTGGATTAAGTTAAACACAATAGTATATTAGCTTCCTCTACGTGGTCTAATGAATATTAAATGTTGCTAAGAATTTAAATGTGGGGGGTGGGTGGGTGGGTGGACTTATTTTGCCAATTACTCAACAAAGTTACCTGCAATAGCGCCAGCTGTAAGGAGATTAAACCCTCCCACGTGACCATTTTCATCTGCAAGCATCAGTTTACAATGAGCGTACACAGGAAAATAGATGCCAGAAAAGGGAATGTCTCGGAGAAAACAGGCCTTGGCTCCCTGTCACATGAAAAAGAGAAACAAAGAAGGAGTCAGTCACGCATACAGGAGAAATTCTCACCGCCTCTGCTCACAAGGGGACAGGGCACACCTCTTCTATGGAGATGTGGGAAGTGCAATTTATTATAGTGCCTAGAATGCGTTGAGCAAAATGCTTTCGTGACCCAGTAAACCAGCTCGATGATCTTCAGCCCTGTGGATCTAAGAAAGTCCCAAACAACTTAAGATACAAAGATGGTACCAAAGAAAAGGCTTTGTGCTTAGATTGTGTTGAGACAACAAGGCAAGGAACAGGAAGACCTTCTTGTCTAGCTAAAAGAGTTTTTAAAGGTATTCTGAGATGGCAGGTCTCTTTGGTCATTTGTTGGATGGAAATAAAACATGAGAGAAGAACAATCCCATTCTAAAACCAGAATGGTTTTTTGGGAGGGCAATATGGAGCAGATGGAGCTTACATCTTTTTGCCACATTCATTCATCTCCAACATGTTTGCCTCGGTTTGACACATGAACATTTGGGATGAAAACTCTACTTGAGATCTTCCAATTACACACACACGCCCCTCAAATCCATGTACATTGATTCTCTATCATTCTTCTAATGCACTACAGCCAAATCCAAAACTCAACTGATGGAGAAAGATCTTCAAAGCAGGAATTATGGGGTGCTTAGGCCAACACACATTGGAGTTCTCCTCTTCAAAATCCATTATTTCAGATTAAGAAAGTGGTAGGGTGAGGAGTCCTTAGTGCTCTCTGAGCTTGGTTGTTTTCTTGCAGACATTTCATTCTCTAAACTGGGTAACATCATTAGGATAGTGATGATATAGCCTAGTTTGGGCAATGAAATGTCTGCAAGAAAACAAGCTCCAAGAACACCAAGGACCCTTCATTTCAACCCTGAGCCACAAATATTCTCCTTTATTGAAAGGAGCAGGCTGACAATCTCTGCAACCCTCCTTTCAGATAACATGCAAGTAAAACAGGGCATTGTTCACATGCTTTTCCTTAAAAAAAAAAAAGCAAACTGCAGTGAAATGTTGTTTGAAATTGCCCTTAAGGAAAAAAAATAAGTCTCTGCGTGAATTTTAAGTTGAAAGGGAAGTGGCTGTGCAACATTCTTGTGCTGTCGTCACAAAGCCATGTACTAACGTGGGATTCTATTTTATATCGAACCAACAAATTCTATTTTATAAGAGCACCGTAGCTGCTACTATCCGCTGAATTTACATATTAGCCCTTTGCCCTGGCGAAGGGTAAAGGGATACCTCTCCTGGTGTAAGAAAACGAATAGCTTTTGCTCCATTACCTCTTATTTGCAATGATGGAAATAAGCAGACCTGCAGGGAAAGAATCTTGCCTAGCATCTTTCTAAAGAGCAGGGCATCTTGGGTCTGGCTATTTTTTTTTAATTCATTCTAGACAAATCCCTCCACTTAACTCCTAAAAGATTTGAATCCTGCTAAATGCTACTACCACTTTACTGTCGTCATATTAAGACAAAGAGAGGAGCCTGCTGTGAATACAACAATAGAGACGGCATAGCTATAACAGAAATGTTCAAATAATTTGGGGGCTGCACAACAAATATAAAAGAAAAGCAAGGAGAGTCTTTCTTTCTTTCCTCCCTCCCTCCTTCCCCAACCAGAAATGGAAAGCCGCAGAGCAGTGTCAATATCCAGCAGGTCGGCCATATTTCGTCCCTATAGCTTTGGGAGAAAGTGCCCATGGAATAAAGCGGAGGAGACTTTCCACACACGCTTTGGCCACCAATATAGAGGTAGCCTTCAACTTACAATCACAATTGAGCCCAGAACTATGGTCATATAGCATTGTGCTCATTAAGCAAACTGGCCATGTAATCCCAGTTTTCCTTGTGGTTGTTATTTAGCGCATGTGGTGCCGCAGGGGATAGAAGAGAGTAGCTGGGTAGCTGAAGGAACAGTGGGAAGTCAAGGATCCCCTGTACAAGTGGATTTGTTTTCTCCCATTCTTCCCGTGGCGAAAGAGAATGTTTTCAAATGTGAAAAGATTCCCCTATAGCCCATCACATATAAAGGTTTCCTTGGGATGGAGGGGGGGGGGATTGTTTGTTTCTTCCAACAGCCTTCCTGGCATAGTGTTATTGCCCGCCGGTGGCCAGCAGAGCTGGCAGTAGATTCGGACAATGAGGAGGTTGGGGGGGAACATGGGCCAGTCCTGGAGTCTGGGGAAGGCTCTGATGAGGGCTCCGTGTCGGAGGCAGAGAGGGGGCCAGAGCCCTATGCCAGCTATCAGCTGCCTTCAGAGTCAGACCTGGAACCTATTCCCAGTGTGCATATGATCAGAGTTACCAGACTGAAGGGTACAACTAAAGAACGGGGGTAAATAACAGATGATGAATGGCCCCTCACAGAGGAAATAAAAGAGGAGCTAAAGGGGAGTGGAGTTTGCAGGAGACAATCAGTTTGCTTAATTGGTTCGTGACTCTCTGAGACTCCTTGCCAAGTTTTGCAGATATCAACCTGTCAGCTCTCCAAGCCAGATAAGGTCTGTGACCGTAAATTCTCCTTTGAAAGACTTTGCTGGATGTGAATGAGCAGAATTCACAGTAAATCAATAAAAGAGGTTTTTGTCAGGAAAAAGGAGTTTGCTTCATGCTCTTGGGAAGCCTATATATGATAAAGAGAGGGAAGAAGCAAAACCAATAAAGGATGTACCTTATACAGTCCAAAAAGCCCCAAGTCCTTCAGAACGGTGAGGGCGCTAACTCTGGGTCCAGTGGTGATTTCTCCTGCTACTTGCAAGCGGATCTTGACAATCTCCAGTGGGTTCGTGAAGATGACTTGTGAACCTCCTGCCTGCAAAACCGTAAGAAAGGCAGCTCAGATCAGTTTCTTCCCAAGGTCTGCTACTTCTGACCAAGCTGCCAGGCCTGTGCTTGTAGATGCAACCGACGGTGTCAAATACACTATCAGGAAGTGGCTAGGAATCCCATGCACCTTGTTAACTCGAATGAGAGTCTGTAATTCAGGATCAGGGTAATTTTGCAGGACCAATAGGAAAGAAAAAAAAATCCGTCTACATCTCAGATGCCTGTGTTTATTTTAAACAATTGGTTCCATTACTTAACAGCAGCATTTACATGATTTAGTTATTCCAAATGATTTACCCCAAACCAATAATGCAACAAGTTTGACAAAATTGCAAAAGCTACATTGGTCGCCGCATTATAAATTAAATCAACCAGTAACTAAAACAGTATGAATTGTACTAGTACAAGTGGGATTCTTTCCATCTGCAACAGTGTTTCTCCATTTTGACCATTTGATTTGAAGACATGGGGGCTTTAGCTCCCAAAAATTCCCCAGCCAGCAAGGTGTAGAATACTGAAGAAAAGCCCAAGGCAGGGAATAAAAACAGCCAGGTATTGGCTGGGTCACAGGCTTAATAAAGGTAGCAAGTCAAACCCATTGTAGGGCCATTGTAGAGCCTCATGCTGGCTCTACATGCAGACCATATTCAGTCCCTGGAGTGAGGAAGAGTGGAAACATTGGATATGTAGCTTACCAGCTATTCCAATGAGGAGTTTGCTGCCACCTATTTTAACAAAGATGCAGAAGCAGTCACAACCAGTGTTGAGCAAGCATATAATCACTAAGTGAGATTTTGATATTCCAGTATGCCACCTTTGTGCTAAAACCACTCACCACAAGGGAGAATAGCAATAGCACTTAGACTTATATATCACTTTCATAGTGTTTTAACGCTCTCCTTAACAAGTTTACAATGTCAATACATTGTCCCCTACAATCTGGGTCCTCAGTTTACTGATCTCAGAAGAATGGAAGGCTGAGTCAATCTTGAGCCAGTCAGGATCGAACTTCCCAGCTTTGGGTAGAGTTAGTTTGCAATACCGTGACCCGTCAAAACCGCGGTAGACAAAACCGCGCTCGACGAAAGCGTGTACCTGACGTCATCAGCAGCGCAACGAAAAAAATTAAAAATAAATAAAATTGAAATTAAAATAAAATTAAGGAATGCCGATTCACATAAAGGTAAGGGTTAGGTTTAGGGTTAG